CGTCCCTTGCATGCCTCAATTTTTCTGTACCGTTCGTGTTGGACACCGACGCTAGCAATACGGGGATTGGAGGTGTTCTGTCCCAAAAGGTTGATGGCATTGAAAGGGTCGTTGCCTATGGTAGCAGAGTTTTGTCTCCTGCTGAACAAAGATACTGTGTTACCCGATGTGAGCTGCTGGCCATTGTGTTTTTCATTCAGCAATACAGGCCGTACCTGTATGGTCAGCATTTTACCGTGCGATCTGATCATTCGGCATTACAGTACGCTCTGCGGATTGACCAACCGTCCGGCCAGCTTTCTCGGTGGCTCGAAGTGCTTCAGGACTATGAGTTTAATGTTACTTACCGTAAGGGTGCACAACACACGAATGCCGATGTGTTGTCTCGCCTCCCGCCGGCTCAAAAATGTGCATGCTTTTTGGGCTCTGGCCGTTGTAGGCCGCCACTGCCTGCGCAGGTCGCGCCTCTCAAAACGGTGTCCGCCGCGCTTCCCATCGCCTCAGCGCTGATGTCGGATCATGCAGATCCAATGACCAGTGACGACTTGCTGGGGCTGACTATGGCCAAATGGGGTCGGCACCAGAGCGACGACATGTCGTTGTTGCGGTTGCGTCGTCACGCAAAGAATGCGGCTCCGCGTCACGGGAAATTAAATTCATTTGTTACGAAGTGCGGCTTGCTGATGCATTGGGATGCTGACTCGTGTCAACATAAAATCGTCGTGCCCTCCGCCTTGCGATGTAAAGCCGTATGGGCAGCGCATGAGCGTTTGTTACACCTACGGGTGTTCATAAAACCATTGGGTTGTTGCGGTTGCAATTTTTCTGGCCGGGCATGCTGCGCGATGTAACCGACATTCTACTGGGGTGCACCCATTGCGCACAACGTAAACCGCCGGCTAAGACGGCATGCCCGCCCCTGCAACCCATTTCGGTGTCTCGTGTAAACGAGTTGGTGGCTCTAGATATTGTGGGCCCTTTTCCTACTACGCCACGGGGTAATAAGTACCTTCTGGTTGGGGTGGAGTATTTTACGCGGTGGCCTATGGCCTGGGCCCTCCCCAACTAGTCGGCAGCGGCCATCGTGGACGCCTTTGTTCAGGGCTACGTCCTGGACAAGGGCGCACCAGAACAGTTGCTGACCGATCAAGAAAGAAATTTTTCAGGAGTCCTATTGAATGATGTGTGCCGCCTGTTGGGCACTAAGAAAGTGCGCACTTCGCCCTACTATCCCCAAACCGACGGCATGGTGGAGCACTTGCATAGAACTCTCACCTCTATGTTATGCCATCAGGTCGATGAATCCCACCTCGATTGGGACTTGCAGGTTCCGGGGTTCCTCGCCGCATACCGCATGGCACCTCACGCGGCGACAGGATTTTCCCTGTTCTTTTTAAGGTACGGCAGGGATGCCTTTCCTCCCGCCGAGGTTCGGCTGGAGATAGAACAGCCACCGCAGATATCCAAGCTCGTTGACCACTTGCGATTTAACCTCCGTAAGTTGGCCGAGGCACGGGAGGCTGCCATTGAAAATTTGGCTTCCCGCCAGCTAACGAATTTGCGACTGCATGATCCTCAGACGTCCACACATCGGTGGGTACCGGAAGACAGGGCATGGCTTCACTGCCCCCAGGTGCCGGTGTCCACATCGGAAAAACTCCTCAGGCCATGGCGGGGTCCGGTGGAGGTGGTTGAGGTCCTGTGTCCCCAATGTATTAAAATTCGCTGGGGACGGCATCGCTGGTTCGTTCACCCTTCTCGGTTAAAACCCTTCCTCAGGCCGCGCGTCCCTCCACAACACACACAACACGGGGGCCGAGTGGGCGACGCGTCCGATGAGCCAGATGTTGCCCCGTAGGTGCCTAACCCACAGCGCAGGCGTCTCATTCCTCCTGCAGATGACACGGGAGTAACAGCTCCGTGCAGGCCACGTTCGACCTCGATGGACCATGGATCGTCAGGTGTCCCCGTGAAGATGCCTCAAGACCCACCTCATGACCCACCTGACGCTCTTGTTCATCCTCCTGCTCCTCCTGTGCCGCTGACGAAGCCTACCATCCCCTACGATGGCCCCGCAAAACACACGCACGCTAAATCTTGCCGGTTTTTATGATGCTTCTCTTGCTTGCTGACACGTTCCCGGTTCCTAATCGGTTTTGCTACACTCGCCGCCTGCTCTGTCGCATTGTGTGTATGTTCGGTGTCATGAGCGATTGCCTTGTACATACGTTGTGTTGATAGGGGGGTATTTATATGTGTTTTTTTCCTGTTCTTGTTCTTGTTGTTCACGAGGCACATTCACATTTCTTTCATCGTTGATAATTTCGGAGTTTCACATTGTTGCAGCCGGGACGGCTGGAGCTTCCGAAGGAGGGGGTGATGTAGAGGTGTTAACTACTCACTGTTCGGTAACCTGCATTGCCACTAGGTATCAAAGGGGCAGTGCAGCATTACCTCTGTGTACATAACGGTTGGGGTCAGACGAGGTGAAGTGGATCGTAGCCACAGTTTGGTAAGAACCAATCAGACAGTTCCACGTGGGAATGTGGGATTGGTTACACCTGGCCACAAACGGGTATAAGAAGGGTGACCGCGCAGAGCGCGGGGAGTTCTCTCCCTACACGAAGACCGAAGCCCGGGCTGAAGATAGCCAGGACCCTCGACCCAGCCTTCCAGCCCTTCTGAGGGCTAAGGCTCGGCGTATCCAGTGGTACGAGAGGGAAATATTTTAAACTAGGTTTCATTGTTTATAATTTTACCATACTCATTCACGCGTTGTCTTCCAAGTACTTCTGAGCGCACAGTGAATCCATGCAGCCCTAGCATGATCAAAATGTAATGTCAACTAATGTGTGACCCACACAAGGTATTTGAAAGCCCTATCCTGCTCTCAGGAAGGCAAAGGTTCCTCACCTCTGCCCTATAATCTGAGGTTAAAGAAACATGGAAAGATTTTTTGGTGTGTATGAAATATAAGAATAGGTTTTACCCTTTCAGCCAATAAACAGGTGTTCAGATGTTCAAACACCTTTTTGCAAGGAATCAAGTCTGCATTAACCACATGTACTTTGGTAAAACATGCACACGTATTGATGCAAAACAAACGTGCTCTCATAAAATATGCATTGTCTTGGAAACTCATTGGCCTACACCAGAGACAGCCTTCTTAATGGCCTTGTCTCATCAGTGTCAGACGAGAGAACGCCAAAAAAGTGAACGGTACAAAGACAATGCCACTATCAGAGCAATTATAGCTCGGGTTGACCAGTTACAGTGAGGGAAAAAAGTATTTGATCCCCTGCTGATTTTGTACGTTTGCCCACTGACAAAGAAATGATCAGTCTATAATTTTAATGGTAGGTTTACATGAAGAGTGAGAGACAGAATAACAACAAAATCCAGAAAACGCATGTCAAAAATTTTATATATAGATTTGCATTTTAATGAGGGAAATAAGTATTTGACCCCCTCTCAATCAGAAATATGTCTGGCTCCCAGGTGTCTTTTATACAGGTAACGAGCTGAGATTAGGAGCACACTCTTAAAGGGAGTGCTCCTAATCTCAGCTTGTTACCTGTATAAAATACACCTGTCCACAGAAGCAATCAATCAGATTCCAAACTCTCCACCATGGCCAAGACCAAAGAGCTCTCCAAGGATGTCAGGAACAAGATTGTAGACCTACACAAGGCTGGAATGGGCTACAAGACCATTGTCAAGCAGCTTGGTGAGGTGACAACAGTTGGTGCAATTATTCAAAAATGGAAGAAACACAAAAGAACTGTCAATCTCCCTCGGCCTGAGGCTCCATGCAAGATCTCACCTCGTGGAGTTGCAATGATCATGAGAACGGTGATGAATCAGCCCAGAACTACACGGGAGGATCTTGTCAATGATCTCAAGGCAGCTGGGACCATAGTCACCAAGAAAACAATTGGTAACACACTACGCCGTGAAGGACTGAAATCCTGCAGCACCCGCAAGGTCCCCCTGCTCAAGAAAGCACATATACATGCCCGTCTGAAGTTTGCCAATGAACATCTGAATGATTCAGAGGATAACTGGGTGAAAGTGTTGTGGTCAGATGAGACCAAAATGGAGCTCTTTGGCATCAACTCAACTCGCCGTGTTTGGAGGAGGAGGAATACTGCCTATGACCCCAAGAACACCATCCCCACCGTCAAACATGGAGGTGGAAACAATGCTTTGGGGGTGTTTTTCTGCTAAGGGGACAGGACAAATTCACCGCATCAAAGGGACGATGGACGGGGCCATGTACCGTCAAATCTTGGGTGAGAACCTCCTTCCCTCAGCCAGGGCATTGAAAATGCGTCGTGGATGGGTATTCCAGCATGACAATAACCCAAAACACACGGCCAAGGCAACAAAGGAGTGGCTCAAGAAGAAGCACATTAAGGTCCTGGAATGGCCTAGCCAGTCTCCAGACCTTAATCCCATAGAAAATCTGTGGAGGGAGCTGAAGGTTCGAGTTGCCAAACGTCAGCCTTGAAACCTTAATGACTTGGAGAAGATCTGCAAAGAGAAGTGGGACAAAACCCCTCCTGAGATGTGTGCAAACCTGGTGGCCAACTACAAGAAACGTCTGACCTCTGATTGCCAACAAGGGTTTTGCCACTAAGTACTAAGTCATGTTTTGCAGAGGGCTCAAATACTTATTTCCCTCATTAAAATGCAAATCAATTTATAACATTTTTGACATGCGTTTTTCTGGATTTTGTTGTTGTTATTCTGTCTCTCACTGTTCAAATAAACCTACCATTAAAATTATAGACTGATCATTTCTTTGTCAGTGGGCACACGTACAAAATCAGCAGGGGATCAAATACTTTTTTCCCTCACTGTATATCGTGGGACTTTCGCTGTTGTTGCAAGTATCAGAGTATGAAAAATAAGAATAGGTTGTTACCCTTTCTGGTAAAACCTATTCGTATTTGTCTTGTGTGTGTTGGACTTGACGTGTGTGTGTGTGCGTTTTCAAGAGAGGAGGGCCTGGGCTGCCAGGGGAGAGGGGTCTGCATGGAAATAAAGGGGACCCAGGCCCCGTGGGTAATTTGGGACCATCTGGCATCTCTGGCAGTATAGGGGACAAAGGCCTCCCAGGATATCCAGGTCGCCAAGGCAGGCCGGTGAGTTCCGCGGGAGATTTCATGTTTGTTACTATGCTACCCGTATCTGAAAAAAAAAAAACATTTTTGGACCATTAACCGAGTATGTCCGTGTTATAAATGGTACTTTTCGTTTTTTTTTTCAGTATAATGGGGCAACAGTTTGGGAAAATAAATCGGCTGCGATCGTGTAAATAATGTACACGCGAACTTAAAATATAAAGCAAATGAACGATACAACCTTAAATGACCTCGTCATTCCAAACACATGCTAGCACATTGTATTAACACACAAAAAATACTTTTTTTCAGGGACGTCCACTTACAGATAATTATGTACGGAAGCTTTGCAACGACGTCATCCAAGGTAAGAGAACTTCCAGAAGAATGCTTTGGTGTTGCTTGTGCTTGAGGGATGAGGGTTCACTTGAATGTATGTATGTTGAACTTCTTGGCTGGTGCCAGATTTAGAGATAAGGATGAGACAACCTAGCAGCTAGGTGATGTTTTTCCAGGCAAGTATGATGAATTACTGTAAAGTGATCTTCTTGGTCCTTTCGGTAAAGTCACGTAGAATGGACTTCACCGAAAGAACCAAGAAGATGAATCCCTGCAGTCACGAAAGCTTTAAATCGATACTGTAAAATGCTTCATTGCTAACTGTAATGATATATGCTTGAATTAATCCAGTTTACAAAAACTATAACAGTGCACTATGTGCCAACCAAGCACTTTGCCTTATGCTGCCGAAACATTAACCCGTACAAATATTAGACAGATAAGTTTTGCGGTGTACCTGAGTACAATTCTACACATACACCATTGTTATTAAATATTAGACAGAGAAGTGTACCTGAATACAATTCTACACATACATCTTTACAGCGATATGAACATTTGGTAGGTGCCTTACCGAACCTGCCAAGGGACCCGTTTATGTTTCCGAGCAAGTAAGTGTGACCTCAAAAAAACACCACAATATAAAAAAGTTTAATCTTCACATGCTCTGCATCCCCAAATTAGGAGGCCACTGTCGCTATGCACTTTTAAAACTAGATTGAAAACGAATTTCTTTAAAACTGCAAATAATTGCAGGGCTGCACCCTTACATTTTATTTATTAATATATTTTTTATTTTAATGATTAATTCCACAAAAATAAAAAAAAGTATTTTTTTCACGGACGTTTTTTTTTTCTTAATAAGTGGTTATTATTAGTAAGTCACTGGAGCTTATTAGAAAGCTACTGGAGCGATACACTTTTAAATCGAGCTTGAAATCGCATGTATATAGAACTGCAGTTTTTAGTTCATTGTCCTTTCCTGAACCTCCAATTAGCATGGTTTGCTACGTACGGTACGAAAGAAGTTCAACATACATACATTCCTGGTGAGACCTACACCAGGTTGACCTTTTAAAATGATGGCATATAACTGACTCCTGTTTCAATCCTCGACAATCCTCGACATAATATACTTCGTTGGTTTTCACAGTTGTGCTGGAGATCGCTTTGATGTGCGTTCGGGTTTTCACCGCACGTTGTCTCAGACGTGGTTGAACTGCTTGCACGTCATGTCGATTAGCATGTGGTATTACTCAAAAACACAGCACACAGCTATACTTGACACAAATGGTACATTGGGTCATAGCAACTGCTATGAGCCACTGTGGTCCACCTGTTCATGAATTTTGTGTGGATCAGATCACCTGGCTGGGTTGCTGCGGAGCATCATGAAGCCCTGTGAGCCTTGTGTGGCGTCACGTGGGTTACCCGGGCCCCCTGGTCCCCCTGGCACTAAGGGCTTCCGTGGCCTGTCTGGCTTACCCGGTCATATGGGAAGGCCTGGATACTCAGGGACACCTGGTGAACCAGGTGGCTCTGGGCTGAAAGGTGAGTAAATGGGACTTCTTTCTGATGGCTTGTCTATCCTGAATTGTGTTTGCTTCATTACATTGGGTTTCCATGGATAGGCAACTCAAATCACATTGAGTTGGCCTGAAGTTGAATTGAAAAAAAAATTGATTGGTAAAAACTTACTTTTTGTCCTTGAGTTAGTGGATATATTTAGTATTTTGGCAAGTTTTTTCCCCCAGAATAACTCATCAATAAGACTTTCCAAAACATTTGTCAAAGGTCAATGCCATGTTACTGACAATATATAATGTTGAATCTAGATTCAACATTATATTTTGTTCATGAAGCCATCCAAATGTATAAACATAGACATAGCTTCAACCGAGAAGATGGTTACAAATTGAGCAATCATTGGAAGGATGATATTAACCAGGTAAAACCTTGACTGCTTTATAGTTTGCCTTCATATCAGCATCTCCAGTTTCTTCAGCCTCCTACCTCGAGCCCCGCTCACTTCCCAGCCCCGGAATTTTGTTGTGCTCATGTCGGAGCTTGCAGCTCTCCACTCCCCCTACCCCCCTCTCCATCTCTCCTCCCTGGCTCCTCTCCCCTCTCTTACCTATATAGCCTCTTGTTACAAGCAGCCCTTTTGCCCACTTCAGCAATTGTTTCTTGCTGTGGTTGTCCTATCCTACCTGATGATGGACGCTTGTGTTGTGCCCGAAACGTCGGGATTTAATTTGTTTTATACCTACGTGACTTTACCGAAATAACCAAAGAGAATAATGTTGAATGTAAAATTTAATATTTTTTCCACCTACTATGATTTTGATTGACATGTTTGGTAATGATTCATACTACTATTACCAATTATACTTGACCAGCAACAGATCATAGCACACTTTACCTCAGCCGGTCACTCACAAGAGTCCAAAGCAGGGGGGACCTTGTCCATCTCGATGCATTGTTGCTCAGCACGAATTCTGACGTAGGGAATTAAAGCCGACCCGCAAACTGAAATCGGCCTAGAGAATTGCAGATTCAGCCCAGTGTGGTAGCCAACTCGAGGTGACTAAAAATACAGAGAAGCTCTGCTGGGCAGGGCATCTCCAGTCCTTACTCGAGTTCTGTGGTTCACGAAAACACTAGGTTAGTGACACATTGAACAAATAGCTCGTTATGTTTTTTGAGCCAATCGTCATCAAATATATGTGAATGATTTGAAGTTTTCGTGACTGCAGGGAACCATACTCTTTGGTTCTTTCGGTAAAGTCACGTAGGTATAAAATAAAATAAATTAAATCACGACGTTTTGGGCGCAACACAATCGTCCATCATCAGGTGGGACAACCACAGTAAGAAACAATTTGATGAAGTGGTTTAATTTATTTGATTTTATACCTACGTGACTTTACCGAAAGAACCAAAGAGTATATGTGAATGAGTGGAAATCAAAACCTATTTGACCATATATGAAGTATTGGCATTTAAGGATATAAATTAAAATAACTGATTACAATAAAACAAGTAATTCAAAAGCAATGTAAATTTGTTGTGCAGTACGACCACGCGGAGACGGAATTCACCGTAAGGGCTGATGCCGTTTATTAACACTCTTCACACGACACTGTAACTCACACCTGGACCCCCGAACTCTATATTATCCTACCCTCGGCTATCCGTTGGGGCTCTCTCGCTCGCCTGCACGGGACGGGGGTTCATCCAACACCGCCCGGCGACGAGGAGAGAGAACCCTCTCGCTCAGCCGGTTCTTACTCAATACTCAGAGCCCTGCTCTCGGCTATCCCCTTCGCTCTCCCACTCGTCTGCACGGGACGGGAGTTCATCCAACACCGCCTGGCGACGAGGAGAGAGAACCCTCTCGCTCAGCCGGTTCTTACTCAATACTCAGAGCCCTGCTCTCGGCTATCCCCTTCGCTCTCCCACTCGTCTGCACGGGACGGGGGTTCATCCAACACCACCCGGCGACTAGGAGGGAGAGACCTCTTCCATCCGAGCCTTGCCCTGGCTCCCCACAACGACCACGCCTTCGTCACGGGGTCCCCCTTAAGTACCCCTTTGGCGGCTCCTCCCCCTAGCTAGAGACCCGCCTTTGTTCCCGAAGGTACCCCCTTACAGCACCCGTGACATGACGTCATCCTCCACTGTCAACTCGCTCGCTCCTCTCTCTGTTCGTCCCCTCGTGGTTGCTCACACTACTCCTCTACAAATTCACTGCTGGGATAAAGGCCTCTGCATGCCATCACCATCCCTCATATTTGTAAGCAAAGACAATTCCATGCACCAAAATCAATATTTTAAATTCACTTGGCAGTAAAGTTAATTTAAAATTAATACATATTTTCATTTATTAGAGTACTGTTTGTCTATGAAAGGAAATTTCAACTCCCACGCAAGAACATTTTACTGTTTTTATGAAATAATAAATCACGTAAATTTTAACGAATTATTTCAGATTTTGTGACACAAAATAACTGCACGTTTTTAGTATCGCTTATTAAAAGTAGCTTTCCAAATTACACCAGAGAATCAGAAGGATTAATGGCAGTTAGTCTATTTGATTTGCTTGATTGTTTGAAACTTAATATTCACAGAGTGTGTGTGTGCTGTTGTCAGGGGAATAGATAAACAAAAATGTGCATTGTTTCAATGGAAAGAATGATATATTATCACTAATTATACCAGTCAACTCTAAAAATTATTACTTTTAACTGTTTGTGTTAACTTGCTCTGTAATTAGCTGATGGATTTCGTTGCCATGAGGAGCGAAATGTAATTGAGGAAAAGCTGATTATGTTTAACTGTTATCATTTGGCAGGAGAGCGAGGGACGAAGGGGGACAAGGGGTCCAAAGGCTCTGGAAGGTTTGGACCCATGGGCAATGCAGGGCTGCCAGGTGCACAGGAGACTTTTTTTCTGTTGATAAGCAAATGTTGTATTGTTACAAATGATGGCAAAGAAACTGCCTGTTCCAGTATTTTTTTTTTATAAATGGCCACTGCAGTGTCCTTATCAATTTTTGTGGAACTCCTCAAAATGTATATATTTTGTTATTCCGTCGACAAACTACTAAAAGCGTCAATGCAATGACGTCATCCAAGGTAAAGGTGCCATCCTCGCCCATAGCTCCCCCCCCCCCCCCTTGCTGGGGCACTTCACCACCCAACCCGAAATCTGAGCCGCCAGCCACCGCCGCCGATTGTTTCATTTCCAGAAATGTGGCTCCTCATTCCGACAGCGCTCCCACTGGAAGGGCGGCAAGCCCCAAGCGTGCCGCACTTGCCACAGCGCCGCAACAAAACAAAAAAAGACGCGTACCGTACCTGGAGTATTTGTCACGCTGTTTGTTTTTTTTGGGCTTATCATGTTCGTTCTATGTACGGCAGGTGCCGTGGGTCCCGCGGGCTTGTCGAAGGAGGGCACAGCAGGAATTACAGGTCCTCCCGGGCAGCAGGGCCAACCGGGAAAAGCGGGCAGCCGAGGGCTGCCGGGGCTGCCGGGGGTGTGCGATCCGCGCGGATGCTTTGCGGCGTACGTCCCCTATCGGCCAGGCCACCAGAAAGGGCCCAGTGACTGACGCAGAGAAGGAGGCTCGGGAAGCGGGCGGCGTTTGCCTCAACGCACGGTCGGAAGTGCGTGACGAACACGCGTCGACGGATTTAATCACCCTCCGCTTTGCTTTAGAGTGCGACGATCGCTGTAGCTGTGATCACCGAACCTTTTCAGTTAAATTAATGAATTTGTAATAATTCTAACAACTTAACCTCTTGCCCATTACATTTTGATTTAAAGCTTTCGTGACTGCAGTAATTCATATTCTTAGTTTTTTCGGTAAAGTCACGTTGAAGGGAAACAACAAAATAATAAAATATATATAAAACAATAAAAAAATTCTCACGACGTTTCGACCATAACTCAAACGGTCATCTTCATCTCTTGCCCATTGTCCACTAAAACCTGCATTAAATTGCAGGTTTGTAGTCCTTGTGAAATGTATCTCTCCATGACACCTCATTTTATAAAGAAATCTACTGCAAAATGAATTTTTGGACAAAATGTAATCAATGTAAATTGATGTATAATTTGGTGATCATAGATATCTGGACTTTGTGGGTAAATAGGCTTTCTGTAAGAAGCAATGTGCAAATGTCTCAGTGGCATTGCAATACGCAGTTTTTAGAGAGATTTTTTTACTTGATCAAAATGGTAACATTTTACTGGTGCTAAATTAGAATGTATTTTTAGGATTTGCACGTGTTTTGTACAATGGAAACATTTGTAAAAGGGGAAACACTGCAACAGTATATCTTCATATTTCACAGACTAAATGCCAGTGCTTTTGTCACATAAATAGAATAAAGGTGGAAACAGAATATAAAGGGTTTATCTTATTCCCCATTTCTTACATGTTTTTAATCTTCATGACTTCAATTGTCAAAAACAAACATCTTTGAAGCTGAGAAATCTATACATGTTTGTGCTATGTGCTGATTTTGTTTAACTAACGGATTTATTGTGTGTACAGTATGAAGCGCCTGAGGAAGTATTGGGTTAAGAGAAGCTTTGTTGACAGCAGTATATTGTTTCATCTTTCCATCTGTAAGGTTAAGCATTCTTTCATTGACCTTGACATAGTTGTTCGAAGAACACGGTAGCTTATGTAAGTTGTGGTATCTCGACCTTTGCAATACTTTTGTTACGTTTCACACCAATATCCTTTCGTCAGGGTGGCGAGATGTTAACTACCTCACCTGGTATACAGGACGCTGTGGGTTCGATCCTAACCCTAACGTCTGTATATTTGGAGTTTGCATATCTCTCTCCCCGTGGCCGTGTGGATTATTCTCCAGGTCCGCCGGGTTTTCCCTCCACAGACATCCATTTAGAGTATTTGGCTGCAATAAATGTCCACGTGATAAGCCACTTCGTTGAGCTATGATATGTGGCCAAATGGCTTCTGAAAAAAAGTTATGTAGCTCAGTGGGCCTTACCTGGTAATAAAAAAAGTATAGTTTTAGATGCCGTTGTGCAAACTTAATGGTGTGATACTTTTGTATTGGAATAATTGTTCATGATCCAGCTAATCAGTGGTGACCACCAAGTACATTTTAAATAAATTCTATTTTCAATTACAACGTGCGAGCCCGGCATGCCACAACGATAATGTACCACTTACTGCGACATTTCCACATTAAAACATTCGCACATTATTACAGCACTGTATGTACTTGCTGATGACAGGGAAGAGATCGAGAGAAGGAACGGGCAAGCAGAAGCAACAGAGCAGTGTTTGTTTCAACAGGTGATGTATAAAATAGCTACGAGCATGTATGACGAAGGGCACTGATTACGTGTAATATTTAGAAACCATCTTGATGTCTTTCTTATGACCATAATGAAACCACACTATTATCTCAACCCTCCATTAAACACATGACCCAACACTATGCCGAATTCCTCCCCTCTCCCTGCCGCCTTTCAAAGCAGACTGCTCCATGCAGCTCGACTGCTCGCCCCTTCCATCGCTCTCATCTCTTCCCTCCCCTCTCATCATCAGCAGCAGCATCTTGGCTCGCTAATTCCTTCTCCCCCTTTCATTCCAGGCACTCTTTGAGCCTCTCCCCTTTCTGTCTTAAGGACTTCCGTCGTACCTGAATGCCTCGGGTAATCTTGCCCAATCTCTCTTTTGTGAAATCGACTCTACTCCCCCCATCCCAAGGTCTGCCACAGTGGAACAGTTTCATGGTTAATTATAATTGTCAGCACTTGACCATGCTGCAAGGCCTGTCGATGTTGTTTTCCTATATCCATAACATACCATGCATTATTGTTTAGCTTCATAGTTGTAGCTGTTTTTTTAAGTGTACATTTTATGTGTAAACTATGTACTTCAAAGTACTTGACAAACATATCTCAAGCCGATTTTGGCTTTGGTTAAATCAGCATTTTATATGAAATTATTAACGTGTTTTATAATACTATACAGGTAACGTTAATCGTTGTACTTTTCAAAAATTGATTATATAAACAGAAAATGTGGATTCGTACTATTGTATTCTACCTCAAGCAAGCCATGTGTTGTGTGATGCATAAGGTGCATGCATATTTGCTTGTTCATTTGTGGAGGGGAATTTTAATCAAGTGATATATATTCAAAATAAACTGTTTTTGTTTGCAAAAAAACGTAAACGTGCTTTAAAAATACTGTACAAATACAAACAGCAAGTTCCACACTAAAAAAAGCCTCCGTGAAATGAACTTCAAAATGTTTTATTAGGCATTGCTTTCCCATTTCTATAAAAAAGTTACAAGCATATAAGCAACAGTAATCAGAGTTCTAATGGCACATTAGCAGACTCAACCTTTCCATGAGTTCGTGTGTACATTGTGGTTCAAGCCATTTACTGCATACAAACTAAGCAGCATAACTGATTCAGAGTATGTAGTAACCTCATTTGAACCATGATAAAAAAAACACAAGTGGGTTGTGCAGGAATTCTTTAGAAAACTACTGCTACACTTATAGAATATTAGCTGAGACTATTTGAGCCTTTGGCATTTACACTGAATCTTAGTACTAAACATCGTCTGGTATGGTGACAGCAAACTTCCAGTCACCCAGTTCTTAAGTCGCTGGATATGAAGACATTTATTTTAATACGATTTTATATACCAAATGGTATTAGGAGTACACTCTGGCGAGTTTTCAGGTTGTACCACGTGTTGTATGGGATGATATCCGATCGTTAAGCTCCATGTGCTGGCAGCTTCTTTAGGAACTGTATTCAGTGCCAAGAACAACGGGATGATATGCATTGTTCCTGAAGCTCCACCACGTGAAGCAAAATGTTAGATATCGTGCCTAATAAGATGCAGTACCACCCAAAAACACATGCGAAGGTTATACAGCACAGCCAAGAAAATCTACGTAGCACTGTTATTCAGGTGCATGTACACACGTTGGCTTTTTTCTCCAAATATTTTGTGGTAATCACTTACTGCATGCTACCAATGTGGTGCAGTCACAGGACATATGCTCCCCGCTTATGCTATTCTGTAAAAGGCGATTGTAAGAAAGACAGGTGTGCTTGCGATTTGAATGTTCACCCTGTCACAACTAGATGCCAAGTCACAACGAACGATGAATAGCTTCCGTTTGATATCAACAATGTTTGTAGATAACTATGCGGCTGAAGGCAATCGGCATATTATATCCATGTAGAATAAACTAGTAATATGAATTCGTATTAATTATTCAGGAGTATGGAACACAAGAATGGCACCACATTTATTGGATTTTTTTTTTAATTCTCTCCTCCATAAAAGTTGTCCGTGAAAAAAATGTGATAAGTGAATTGTCATTTGTGAACGAAACTGCTTTCAGTGTAAATGTCCTTTGAGTTTGTAACAAGTTTAATTTACAGCTACAAGTATCCTTTGTCATTCGGTGCTTAAAAAAATAGTCGTAGATGACTCTTGTCCCTATTTATAAAAGTGCCAAAATGAATGTCTTAGCACATACAATAATTGCTTGTACCTATAAAGTAGCACATTACAATCAAATGCTAAATCCTACACAAAATACAATTTCTGCCCCAGAAGTCGATTCCAGATCTTTTAATGTGACTGAAATGTAAAGGCTCTCGTAAATTAAAAGGCCAATCTGCTCTGATGAAACGATCTGCTTAGGATTTCAAATCCATTAAAGGTGTATTCATCATCATCCACAATTAATCCCCTGCTGGATGAAGGCACTGCCATCTCTCGCCATCAGGAGGAGCATAATGTAGAGGGGAAAACGCAAAAAATATGCATTTTTTTCTTTATAAAACCAGTTTTTTTCAATAAAGTGGAACATTAAGAAATTTTAAAAATTGCAATTTTAACAAATGATTAAATTAATCAAAAGTCAATGTGACGCTGAAGAAATGCAAACATTTTTATTTTGTTTTAGTACTTCGTAAAAAGTTTAGCATAGAGATGTTAATGAAATACTTCAAACATGATTACACATTTAGTTACCAGGAATTAAATTGTTTTGCAAAAGGCAAGTAAAAAAACACAACAAAAGTATAACCAAAAGCAGCATTACCCGTACCATTTAACTGCACAGAAGCATTACTTGAAATTTAACTTAATGTCATGGATGTATTTAAGCATAATTGGGTGTAAATAAGATCCAATTTGACAAATGTCTCCATAAATATGCTACTCTTGGTGGTACATATGTAGTCATCCATTGCCTTAATAACTACAGCTGTGCATACAATATTCCATTCTATTGTTCAGTTCAAAATAATGTGCATTTTTTTATTAATGTTCCACCCATATACCTGTGATCAGACTCAAGGGCAATCTAAAGTTGATGTGGTATTAAATTGAGGCACAAAAAACACAACTGTTGTGCTTATTTTGTCACTCCATCTAATCCTAATCAAATGATCGTGGCGGTACATTTCAAAAATATTAAAACAATTATGAGAATTTCCATACGTTTTACACATTGCCTTCTCAAAATGTTTTGACCATCAGTGAGATTGTTTTAATTTCTTGAAAGTGCAGTAGTATTGAACAGAACTTGCAGTTGGAGCCACGTTGTCTCCACACGCACAATTTGACAATGATCTAAAATAAATGCACAGATGGATGTGAAGGTGTCCCAGTGTGCGTTCACAGCTCATCTCTGGCTCTGCTCAGCACATAGGAATGCAAGGCCTCCAGATTGCGTGTACCCTCGTGCTCTCCCACCTGTTTGCCCCCTACATACAGCAGTAGAGTTGGGTACCCACGCACCTGCAAGAAAGAGAACACAAAATTACATATATTTAAAGGTCTAAACATTTAAAGATATTTTTTTTAAATTATATTACCTATCGTGATGCAATGTGGGGAAAAGGCAATCAAGTATTGGTTTATTCAACATGGTTGTCTTCATGTGTGGCTTGCATTATACTTACATGCTGTTTACTGCAGAGTTGTGCTTCCGATGTGCAATCCACCTTGGCAATCGTGACTTTGGACAGGCCAGAAAACTCTTTCTTGGCCAAGTCTTCCCATGTTGGGGCCAGGTTCTTACAATGACCACACCTGAGATACAAGACAATTTGAATTAACCTTTAGGCCACAAATCCACAGAGCATGGGTATATCCTACTGTGTCATTTAAGTGAACCACATGATGAAAAATAAATGCACAATGTCTTTGTGATAGTGTCATTTCACTTTAGCAAATAAACCAGTCAATAAAGCTTATACTTACCATGGTGCATAGAATTTCACAAAAGTGATGCCATCTGCCACAGTAGCATCAAAGTTGTTTTCATTCAGAACCAGCACGCTAGACTGTAAAATCAACATAGCACATCTGTATTTACATCTTTTAACATATGGCTAAAGTGGGCAAAAGATCATCATCACCATCAATCATGTTACACTATATGCAACTGCTTTATTTCCTCTGCTAAATCCCACAGTTGCAAAGTCAACTGACGTCCACAGGTTGAATTTCACGAGTATCCAATCGCATAGCTTTGACTTCCCCTTGGTCACCAACGTTTGAGTACCCATTCCAATACATCCTTCCCTCTGCACCTCCAATTAGCATGGTTGACTACATTTGGTGCGAAATAACTTCAACATACATACATATAAACACGTACCACCAACCCAAACTGTTTTTTTTTTAATTAAAGATACCATTTTTGTTCTGCCACATTATTTTCTGAACTTCCAAGTTACCTGCCATATTCTGTCATAATGTTCCTAGCATACTTCACACGCAACCTATAGCTACTGCTCAGTGCTTTACCAACCACCAAACCATATAACGTGAAAAAAAACAGC